TCAGAGCTGCTGGGAATTGTGTGTAACACACACCCAGGAGGGAAACAAGAGAAAACATCTGTGAGCCTCTCATCCCTCCAACACAGCTCGGCTCCATCCCAAGGAAGGTGAGGAATTGGCTCCCAGTTCTCTGTCACTGATTAATGGTGCTGTGGGAGCACCAAACCCAGTTGGGTCTGTGGAGTTTCATATTTACTGCATCCCTCTAACTCTGGATGTCCCYAAAAGAAGGGCAGCACCTTCCCAGCTTCACGCCTGGGGCAATCCCAGGATGGAAATCTTCTCCTCAGTTTTAGGGGTCCCCATGGCTCAGTCTCCCATTTTTGGGCTGCATGGAGAGACACCAGGAWCCTTCTCATGGAGTAACAGGAGCAGAGCTGCACCCAGAGGGGAACTCCAACTCCTTCATTCTGCCCATCCACAAACAAATTCCAGCTGATTTTGGATCCACCAGGAGAATGACTCCTCAATTTACCAACCTCATGGCTCCCAGTACTGTCTGAGGCAAAATCAGAACTAATTTTAAAATAAATAAGTAAAATTTGTACGGCCTGTGTGTTTGACTGCTTTGTAATTTGCTCAGGTAGGTCTTCCACATACTGGTGGCTTTTTTTTTTTCCCCACATAGAAAAAGCAGGACAGATAAAAAAAAAGGCAAGAAAATGACAACACAAAAAGAGGGAACAAAGAGCTCCAAGTAGCACCAGAAATGTTTTTATCTAAACAAGAATAAGCCCTAAGCTCTAGGCTGGCAACTGAGCCTCTAAAAGAGCTGGGGAAAAGAGAAGCGGGGAAGATGGAGAAGTGGAGGTACTTGGAACATTAACTGATGAAGTGCTCTGTAATTAAGCCATGAGCTGTTGCCCTCCAAGGAACCACGAGGCTGAAATCTGGGCTTTGCAGCCTGACTGGATGATGCAGAGAAGCTGCAGAAGCCGTGTCCTCCTCGAGGGCAGAACCAGAGCAAAATGTGGTTTAGTGGCGATGGAATGCGGCGTGGGAAACAACGCAGGGGCTTGGGTTGTTTGCCCTTTAAGGTGGAAATCGGGGCACTTTGGGGACCCCCTGCCCTGGGGAGGGCACCCCTGGCTGGAGCAGCTCGGTRGGACACGGCAGAGCCTCTCCTGCCTCCGGGCAGGCTGCTTTGATCCATGGAATATCTGCCCTTCCCTAATTCTGATCTGACCAAACTCCTTATTTGCATCCCGATTCTGTAGGGGCTGACACACCAGGGGGACATTTCTGTGGCTTCAGGAACCCTGGCTGGCACAAATGTGACATCCCTGGGTGTCTGTGGGAGTGATCTCTCCACAGTGTGCRTGTCCTGTTACAGGATAATAAACCAGAGCTTTTTCCTTGTTATTCACTGCTCACATCAAATGCTGTTTGACCTTAAAACAGCTCTTCCCCCTTGGAAAAATCCCTAATTGTGACTCAGACAAAATCCTTTCCACTAGGCTTGGCACATACATGTGGCTGGAAATCTTCCTTTGAAAGATGATTTTGTGTCTCCCAAGCTCTGGGGTCAGCACGGGAGTCCCCCAAGGGGTTCATCTCCWGTATGGGAGATAAAACCCATCCTCTGAGGAAAACCTAAACCAGAGATGTGCAGGATCCACTCCTGGATCACAGCACCGTGCCCAGTTCCGAGCTGGAGCATCATTTTAGGGATATCTCAGCTCTTGGGGTAAGGCTGCAGTGCTTGAGGACAGCAACAGGGGGACAGCCATAATGGGAACTGATGGGACAGCAAGGGCACTCCTGTGGGGTGGAGGAGTCCCTGTAGGGATGGAGAACTCCCTATGGAGTGGAGCACTCCTTGTAGGATGGAGAATTCCTTATGGGGTGGAACACTTCTTATGAAGTGAAGCACTCCCTGTGCAATGCAGCACTCCCTATGGGGTGGAGCACTCCTTGTGGGGTGGAGCACTCCCCTTGGGATGCAGAACTCCCTGTGGGATGCAGAATTCCCTGTGGGATGCAGCACTCCCCATGGGATGCAGAATTCCCTATGGGATGCAGCACTCCCTGTGGGATGCAGAATTCCCTATGGGATGCAGCACTCCTTTTGGGATGGAGCACTCCCTGTGGGATGCAGAATTCCCTTTGGGATGCAGCACTCCCTGTGGGATGCAGCACTCCCTGCAGGGCTCAGTGCACACCACCCTGCCCCAATGTCCCCCAGGACGTCACCGTGTCCCCTTTCTAACACAGGGCCAAGCCCAGCCCCCGCTCCGGTGTTCCCAGTCGGGCAGACTGGACTCAAGCCCCTCCAGCGGGCTGCCAGTCTGTCTCCATTCCACCTTAAACGTTTCCATGTGSCTGTGAGGGGGTTAGTGGGGCATGCAGAGGGCAGCAGTGTGGCCATACCAAAGCAGGTGCCAAGCTGTGACCCAGGCCAGGGTTAGCCACTTACCAAAGACCCCCGCTTGTATTGACTATACCATGTGGAAGGCTGCTCTTTGGGCCAACGAGCCATTTTACTCTGTAAAATACGACAGGGGTTAAAGGAAACTGAAAGCAACGGGATGAATCTTACCAGTTTACCGCGCTTGAATTCACTGAACCACGAGCCTGGGTTTTCCTTGGGCCAGGAAGTAATTCTAGCCTAGTTTGTGGACGGCAAGGAGGGAAGAGAGAAAGAAAAAAAAAAGAAAAAAAAAATCAAAATTAAAAAGGTTACATTCATTCCAGAGTCTGCATGTCTTATTGAAACTGTCCAATTTGCTTTAAAATGGGTTTTTTAACCTTTGTACACCGGTAATGAGAGCAGAAGGCAGCTCTGGAGCAGAGCAGGATGGGTTGGTGCTGCTCTGGCACCTTTGCTAAGGGTTAAGGATCACTGCCTCCTGGAAACATGGGATGCAAATCCAGCGGGGRCAGGAAAATTAAAAGGAAAGAKAGAGAGGGAAAAAGGAAGCATGGAYGGGAAAAGGTGCATTRATCTCCAGGGAGGGCTGTGGTGGAAAGGCAAAGCTGGTGCTGGAGGAGCCTCTCCAATGCCAAATCCAGGAGCTGTGGGGCTGGGAATGCAAAGGATGTGATTGAGGAGAAKCCTCAGCCTGCCTGCTGTGTCTGGRCTGCAGCACAGACAGTGCTGGGCACAMGGGATGGAGCTCCAGGTGCCCAGGGTGGCACAGGGGGTGACCTGGACAAGCAATCAGCCATCGGAGCATCCTTAGGGCAGCCCCAGCTCCGCAGCTGAAGCAGCTTTTGGAGTCAGAGCACAAAGAAGAAGCGTGGCTGCTCCCTCAGCCTCCCCCGCCCTCGTTCGTGCTGTAAATCTCTCCAGGAGCCCGGGGGTCGTCCTTCCCCTTCCAGAACGTGAGTGCAGAGCCAGGCCGAGGGTTTGTGCTGGGTGAGGCATGAACTGAGAGCAGACATGGCTCAAACTCTGCTGTGGCTCAGCACAAACCCACTCAAAACCACCCACTGCTGGGGTGGTCGCTGTTTGCATCCCTCTGGAAGGGAAAAGCTTTTTCTTACAGATCCCAGCATTGGGTTTGTATTTGGGGARCGCTGCATCTCCACAGAGCCCTTCACAGAACCAGCCCAGCATGGCCAGACTCTGCTTTTTTTGAGCTGTCAACGTTTGGAGAAACACAGAGCACTGATGCAAAGGAGAGGAAATGCATCTCATCTTTAAACAGCCCCCAGAAAAGCTCAGGGAGGATTTATGGTGCCTGTGATGTGCCCTGCGCTGACACACATTTCTGGTGGGTGAAATGCAGCGGGAGAGCGGCTCCGCTTTGTCACAGCTGGAGCACAACTGTGACACTGGCCCAGCCCTCCAGGCTGAATCGCTGTGTTTCTGCTTGGCCAGAGCCAGAGCTGGTCCCCAGGCAGCAGAAAGAGCAGCTCTGGAAACAGAGCACAGGGATATGGGACAAAAATGATGAGTCTGGCTGAGCTGAGAGCATCATTACACAAATAACTTCATCAACCTTGTGCAGCGGTGCCAGCGAGAGCTCTGAGCCCACTTGCAATCATTTAGGATCATTTACCCACAAGGAACAGCAGGAAAAATGACAGGAGGTAAACATTTGTCTGCTCTGCCTGGAGCCACAGCGAGGGGAGGGGAATTGGTGCTGCTTGGGCAGGCAGGCAGCAGAGCAGGGCTGTGRGAGGGGACACAGCAATGAGTTAAACACAGCTCCCAGCACCAGCACACTCCTCTGCCTYGGACAGCAAAATTAAAATAATTAAGGTTTTAGCATTTATTATGCCTGGGAGATTGTCAGAGATTTGTTCCAAATCATATTTTAACTCTGAACTGGAAGAAATTCTCTTTGACAACTTATTTCTTATTATTTTAGAAGTGAATGTTGTGTAACAAAGAAATGTTCTGGATCTTGGATCCTTCCTTGCTGTCATTCAATTCTCCTGAAACTGGCTGGCTGTGAATATTCCTATCAGAAAACCATCTATCACCAGGACAGAGGGGAAAGCAAAGGTGGTGTGCACTTACTCCTTCAGATTTTTTATCRGGGAAGATGCAGGTCTCTCCTCCAGCTGTGAAATTACAGTAAACTTTGAAAGAGTCCCTGGAACATCCTTGGTTGGGATCAACCCARTATTCACCTGGAGGAGGGAAGAAAKATCAGAAAAAATATTATTTCAGCAACATTTTCACCAGGAATGTTTCTTCTCTTACAGGCTTCTCTTCCAGTTGAAAAACTGGTCAAGTTCTGGTGCTGGTTAAAGCAGATTTTTCATCCATATCCCCATTTTTAGAACAGAACATTTCAGCTGTCCAATGATATCTGGTCCAACTCTACATATTCATTCTCCCCCAGCCACATTCCCCATGGAGCACCAAGCCCAGGAACTCCCCAAATTCTCCATTCCTCATTTCTGTGCAGATGGAAAACCCCCAATATCCCCCCACATTCCCTCTATCCCGGGCCACACCATCTGGGAAATCAGGGTGACAGAGCTGCAGGTCCTTGCAGGTCCTCGCTGGGTTGTGCTGAGTGCCCAAGGGATGCTTCATCTGCTCAATTTCCAGTTTCAAGGAATTCAGGGAGCCRAAGATCTCCTCCATGCCRTCRGCATAGTCCATGTAGTTGTCGGCGTTGCCGTCGTCCACCAGCTGGCTGGCATCGATGTTCCTCCTGGTCCTCTTGGAAGCCTGGATGGGCAGGGGCTGGATGACTTCTCCAGGAGGACCCTGATTAGTGGGGGAACAAAAGGAACAACTTGTCATTTCATTGGGAATGGGACAAAGCAGCATTATCCCAAAATACGCATTGGACACAGCAAACATTGCGATGGTGCTGGTAAAACGTCTGGTTTCAACATCTTCCATCTTCCCTTATCATCTTCCACCTTCCCTCATCATCTTCCACCTTCCCTCATCATCTTCCACCTTCCCTTATCATCTCCCCATTAATAACTCCTCCCTTCCCACCCCGCTTTCTTCCCCAGCATCTCCACAAGATTCCAATCCATTGCCAGGATTGGTGAGAAATCTTTGTCCCGAGATTTTCTGTTTCCCAAATCACAGCCTSAGCATCGTTTCATGCTTCACATTATGGGTTCTACTTACAGGAGGCCCTGGGGGCCCAGGAAGACCTGATTCACCCTTTGGACCCGTGGGACCCTGGGTGGAAAAACAAGGGAAAATTGTGAGTCAATCAGGAGAATTCACCCATCACTTTTACCACATCCCAAACATCAAACTGGGGTTAAAACTTAATTCTCATTCTTTCAGACATACAAGAGGAGTCTCCCTCTGCCCACCTCCCATGAAAATGGGGTTTTTGGTTGTTTCTGGTGTTCAGGTAAAAGAAAAGATTGAACACCTGGAGTTAAACAGTCAGATTTTCCCTATGCTTCCTACAGAAAAGGATCTTTCAATGCATAAAATCTTTAACTCTCCGAACCAATCCAACAGTTTTACAAGTCAAATAAAATCTTCAAATCAATAAAACATCGACTTCTGGATGGCAGACACTAAGAAGTCACCCAGAAGAGGAATTTTTAGCTGCCTGCACAGGAGTTCTGCACCACGAAGTTCCAGAGTCTCTTTTCTCACCGAGCTCTTCACTTTCCAGCTCCCCACCTCCCGCTTTTCACGAGCTATTTTTAATCCACCCARCTCTCCAGCAGCAGCTTTTCTCCTCAGGACTAAGCACTGGATGGCTCCCTGTGATCTCTGCTGCGCTGCTCTTCAGGGAAGTGCAGTTGTGGCACAAAAACCTTTCCCAATTATCACTCCCGGGCTTAGGCAGCCTGGAAATGCAGGGTTTCTAAGTCCTCTCTGTTAATTGCCTTAATGGAGTTGATGAGGGGAGCCCCAGTGTGTCCCACATTTTATAAAAACCCCTCAGGCTCCTCCTTGAGCGGGGTCTGTACTCACTGATGAGCCTTTAGCACCTTTGGGACCAGGTGGACCCTGTGGAGAGAAAAATACACCAAGGAGTCAGTTCATTTCCAAGCAGAAAATTCAGGCTCTCCTCACACTGAGAAGTGCAACAGAAAGGCAATTTTATAAAATTTATTCCTTATTTCCATTTTTCACATCCACTCGAGCTGGCTGCTGCTTTCATTTGCCAACACACAAAAAGCAGTTGTGTCAGAGYAATGTGTGTCAGAGCTCCACTCCTGCTCCAGTGGGGACAGGGAAAGATTCCTGGAATGTGGGGCTGATCCTGGCTCCGTGCTCAGGACACCCAGATGGGCAGGACGAGGCCTTTGGGCATCAAAAAAAGTGGAAAAAATACAGCAAAAAGGCAAGGAATCACCGTGGGATCGCAGAGAATCCAAAAGGAAGGGGGAGAGAAAGAGGGTGGGGTGATTTCCCTGTGCCCATCTCCCAGGTCACTTCCAGCACTCCTGGAATTCATCCCAGTGTTTTTAACGAGCTGAGGAATCCTTTTGTGACCAATTCTCCCAGGGCATTCCTGGGAGCACCAAAGTGACTCCAGAGGGGCTGTGCAGATCCCAAGGAATTCCAAAATCATTCATTGTCACCTACCGGTAATCCTGGGGGCCCTGGAGGTCCGATGGGTCCAGAAGGACCTGTGATACCCTAAAAGATAACAGCAAACAAGGTTGGTTTGCATGAAACAATCATAAATTCTAAAACTGCACAACCAACCCCTGCTCACCCAGTTTTGGAGGATTTCTCACTCTAATCTGAAGCTTTTGCTGTTTTTTAAAGTCCAGACAAGCGCATGGACAGGGAATTTCACATCTCATTTAGGCTCACGCTTTTAAAAACCAGCCCTTTAGATGAATATTTAATGGCACCATCCCTCYAAGTCTCTTCAACTCTTTGATACGACCCTTGAGGATCCACTTCCCACAAAAATGGGTCATTTTGGAGCAGACCCATATTTCACACTTAAAACAAACCACATTAATACAGAAAATATCCCTCAAAATCTGGCAAGGATCTCCTGCCAGGGTTGCCCATCTCTGCTGTGCTGCATCTTCTCAAGRGTGCCATGGTCCAAAGCACGTTCCAGGAAGGTTTTATGGAATATTTACCTGCTCTCCTTTGGGTCCTGCAGAGCCCTGGGGACCTGGGAGGCCTCTGTCACCCTTTTCCCCCTGCTCTCCCGGCGGYCCAATAAGACCAATTAAACCTGGATGACCCTGGGGGAAAACAGCAGAAGTGAATTAGGATTTCTGACCAGAAAGAGAATTTCTAAATCCAACCCCAAATATCTGAGCAAAGTGACAGGAGTTTGCAGCAATCCCTGACATGTGGAAGTGGCAGAGTGGAGCAGAACAGGAGATTTTTACAGCAGAAAATGCTAGAAAGACAGAAAAAAAAMCTCTGCAATGGAGCAGTGGCTCATTCCCTGGGGTTATATAAATATACATATATATAAATATATATATGTAAAAATATATAGGCATGACAGAAATGTTTGTAGGAGGGAGGATCACACCCCAAAATGGGCCAGAGCTCTGCACCTCCACGCTCACCCACAGCCCAGCGCCATCCCCCACTCAGGGCACACTCCCAGGGCTCCTCTAAAGCTGTCACAAGGGGCAGGTGACATTCCCCAGCCTTGGCCTGCCCACCCCAGGACCCCTCTGCAGTGACATTTCTGCCCCCACATCCCAGCAGGGATCATGCAATGGGATCCTGTGTGGATTCTCACCTTCTCCCCTTTAGGACCGGAGTCTCCTTTCAGACCAGGCAAACCCGGAGGGCCCTTTGGGAGGCAAAGGGAAAAAAAAGAGGGAATGAATTCCTGTCACACTCATTGACCCAGTTCAAAAAGTCATGGAATGGGATGCTCTGGACCTACCATTGGGCCTGGAGGACCATCTGGGCCAGGGGATCCCGGGAGACCTTGTTCACCCTGGAAAACATCAAAATTCCCTCAAAACTCTCATTCCTGACAGCAGTGCTCCCAGTGGGAATATTCTCATCATTCACCTGTGCCAGGGAAGCTTTGCCCTGGCTTTCCCCAGATGGCAAAAGGATTTATGTTCCTTCTATGCTCAAATCTCTACTGGAAAAGGGACTTGGTGGGTCATGGAAAATCCCCCATGGAGAGAGGCTGAGAAGACCCAAAACTCAAATAAAACATTCTGGGTGGTGATATTCACCATTCCATTATTTCCATTAATTATGTTTTACCTGCTGTCAGGAATTCCAGCACAGACAGAACACTGGGGAAAGGCACAGGAACAACCTGCCCAACAGTTTTTTCAGACTGGGAATACTCACAACTGGACCAGGGATCCCTCGAAGGCCATCGGGGCCGGGCTTCCCTGGAGCACCTTGGGGACCAATTGGCCCAGTCTTCCCAGGAGGTCCTTCCAAACCAGCTTCCCCCTGGATGRAGAGGCAGGATGGTTGAATTTGTGTTGGGATTTTGTGGTGTCAGGATGTCACGGAGTGGGTACAAATCYATGCAAAGCACACAAAACTCCCCGCTCCTTGATTTTCCTGCTGCTCCCTCCACCTCAGGCACTCTCCAAACTCCTTCACTTTTCAGCCTTGCCTGAATTYCTGCAGGAACCACCCTGTGGCTCTGGGCTCTCCTGGGATCAGAGTTACCCAAGGAYATCATCCTCCCTCCCTCCCTCCGCTGCTGCTGCCACAATGGGATCTATAATTTCCAGCTCCATCTCCATTTCCCCACCCAAACAATCCTGGCCCATTAATGCTGTGTTTGCCCTGAGAAAGGACACGGGGCCATGCACACCCCATTATTTACAACACATTAAATTGCCAAATATAGCACTTGGTTGTTTCAAAGTAAGGAAAACATTCCCATGACCTTAGCAAGCCCTAATTATCTCCACAGAGCTTGTTAAGAGCTGAAACATAAGCTCAGCTCTGAGGCCAGTGGCCCCAAATTYGGACTAATTTGTTGTAACACGCAGCAAAATCAACTCCCTGCCTTTCCAACGCCAGCCTTGGCACGGGGAGATCCTCTTGGAATATCAAGGACACAGCAGAAGTGAAATCCCACTCAGCTCTTACCTTGGCTCCTTTCTCTCCTTGCCTTCCTTCGGGACCAGCTGGACCAGGAGGGCCCTAAAGAAAGCCCAAAATTAGATGGAAAACACAATTAGATCCCGCTGATCTGAAACGGTCCATTGGAATTAGCAAAATGATGCTCCAGCCCCAGGGAAGGAGGCAAAATGGAGACAAATATCTCTGAAAAGCTTTTTAAATTAGCTCCTCGCTAAATGAATCCCTGGGTTCTGCCAGCGAGGCAGGGAGAGCAGGAGAATCTCATCCTTGGATTTTCTTTGGGCTGTTAACATCTTTTAAAAAAATCCATGGGATTCGCCTGGCAGCTTCCCGTCAATTTTCAATGGATGTGGATGGTGCTTTTTTTTTTTTTTTTTTAATTATCACATCTTTTACACAGTATTAACACGGCATTTCTTGTAGGCTTAGTTACAACACGAGTTTTTTAGAAGTTAATCCATTTGGGAAAATCCTCCTAAAGAAGCAACTCACCCTTTTTCCTGGGGGTCCGGAGGGGCCTGGCTCTCCCGTGGGCCCAGGGGAACCCTGCATGGAGAGAGGGGAGGGGAACAAGGCATGAGCACACCACGGGATGTGGGAATGAGCAACCAGCATGGCAAACCTGAGTCAGGCTCTCGAGTTTGTGCTRAGCCCGGGCGTGGGACGCCAGAACAACTCCCAGCCAACACCTCCTCGGGGTGCAGGTGGTATCCTGTTTTAGCCCTTCCCACCACAAAATGCCAGAAGGCAGGGAAAAGCTAAAAATCAAAGGCTTGGATGCTGTTTTTCCATGAGATAATTTATGCTTTTGGGATGTAGTGTGAGAAGTCTGGATGGGGGGGTGGATGGATGGATGGATGGATGGATGGATGGATGGATGGATGGATGGATGGATGGA